GGTTGCAAGATTGAAAATATGATATTTTTAAATACTATTTCGACAATTTATTTGGTAATATTAAAGAATTCACAAATGTATGCGTGTAAGATAAGATTCTTGAGTGGAATTACACTAAAATGTATCTCAATTTCGATACGTCGAGGAAACTATAACCTGAGCTGAATTGAGAGTTGTTAATTGAGTATATTTATATGTGTTACATATCAATATTGCTAACACATTACATGAAAGTAACAATGTCTGTTTTTTTTACGTGTTGTCTTTCTAACAATTCGAGACAAATATGATATATAAAATTCATCGCAACTGTTTTAATGTAATCTACATTATTTATTACGACGTCCATTTATAAATACAGCATTCCACATACATTGCCATAGGCAGTGGTCATGAATGAGGTCAATCAATGACATTATGTTACCATTTTGTTATAATACCTAAAACATGTATTCCTTCATACTCACTCGTAACTTTCATCTAATCATTATCAGAATGACGCGTATATTTCACACTACATATACAAACGTATCGCGTTCCATTGAAATGAAATAAAAAAATATTCTATAAACTCTTCTGTTCTATATGGGTATAATTTTTCCAAGAAGCGTCAAAAGCTTCAAACAATCTGCTTCGATGCGAAGTTCTGTGCGGTCAGGCCGAGACAAAGGCTCGCTGAGAGTAAATTAAGCTATTATATTACGTACGCGTGAGAAATTAGTCTCAAAACACTGGAATAATCGAAGAAATCTCTCTCTTCGAAGAAATCATCGATTGTAGCTTAGTCAGTCACGTTGTCGAATTGATCGAAACAACACTTTCTTTGTCTATTATTCAATCAAAATGTAGCGCGGAACTCGAATGAATTAGACTAAACGCGTGCAGCAAGCGCTCGAGTTTGGCAAATCGGCGAGTAAATATCCTTCTACCACAATATTAATATATTTTAGCATCTCAAAAGAAAAGACATGTATAGATGAGAAAATGTGCGAATTCACCGCGTACTACGTCTGCTAGAATTCCGTAATTGTTTTTCAATTTCAAATTGTCGCAGATCTGCTCTTTGAAGGAAATCTTGCCGTTCTAAATATCCGTCCTTGCCTTTGTTATGAGTATTAAGTTCTTCTTCGATGTTTTCCTCCTTCTTGAAGTTATCCCAATCTAGTTTAGATTTTTCTAACGTGCTAATTTTAGCCTTTTTCCCGATTTGTCCCAGAACCGAAGAGATGCCGCCTAATCCAATGCCGCGTCTAATACCGCCCCGCCCTCTAGTCGTGGGAGCTGCAGACTCTGATGGCTTCGTGGCGGAATTCTCGGCCGCAGAAAATGATAATCTTGCCTCTGCGGAATCTACTGATACTTCCTTCTCGACCTTTACTTCCTCACCAGCAAATTCAAAAACCTTAGTTATCTTAATTTTTTCTTGAACTTTTGGTTTTTGTATCGGTGGAGATCTCTCGTTCGATCTATTGATTGAATTCTGAGGTTTTGACTTTGATACTACAGCTGTAAGCAAATATAAAAATATATTATATGTTTTTAAATCTTTTTAAAGATTGTATATTAACTTATACGTATTAGCTATTTAAATGGAATTATACATTTCTAATTGTATTTTCTAATATAAATAAGTTCATATATTATTAAATATATCTTTTTAAAGATTATATTATAAGAAATCTAAATATACAATAGAAAATGTATATTGAAATGTATATTGAAAATGTATATATCATTGTACTTTGTTTAAAATAAATGACTTTTAAGTATTGCTTTTCATATTTTTTTAGTATAAAAAAGTGTTTATTACATATCATGTAACTATATATATTATATGTTCAGTTGTAATAATATATTCAACAGGTTTTACCTGTATCCTTCATAAAGTCGGCCCAAAGAGAATCTGCTCTCCTTTTTTCTTCTTCTTCAGTAAGTTCTTTTTTCTCTTTGCATTCTTCCTCCTCTTTACTTTCATCTTCTGATACTTTTGACTTTTCTAATATCTTTTTGCGCTTGATTTTTTTATTCTTTCGACTCTTAGATCTCTTTATACGCTTCTTTTGATCAGATTCTCTCTTGTTCTCATCATTTTCATCTTCTGGACCACTTTCAACATCACCTTCAGATTCTACTTCAGATACTGGATCACTATCAGCACCATCAGGAACATAATCTTCGTCATCTTCATCAGAATCTGAAGGTAATTGATGTTCTTCTGACATGTTTAAATATAGATTAGTATAGAAAGTACCTAGAAATAAATAAAGCATATATTAAAAATATATCATATATTTATTATAAAGTAAAATAAAGCTTTTAAATAATTTATTATTTACAAATATAATTATACAACTATAATATAATTAACTATAATATAATTCTATATATATAATTATTCTTTATATTTTTCCTGCAATTAATATTTTTTACAAAATAATGTGTTATATCAATAAAGTTGTCTATTATTCGTAAAATAAACAGATATGTAGAATTTTTAAATCATTTTAACTATTTTTCATTCATAATTCTAAAATTATCATAAAACACTAATACTACAAGTAACAATTATTATTCAATTAATAATCAAAATGTAAACACTTTAAATAGCTTAGTTGTTATTAAAATTGCATTGTTATTACAAATTTTTTATAAATAAATAACTCTAATATTGATCCTTCTTTGTTCAACAATATTCAAACAAAGAAAAAAAGATGAAACGAAGATAAAAAGATCTTCAAAAAAAAATTCCGCAAATTAAAAATTCAATCGAATCGCCGCGCTTCTCTCCGCGTATTATTACCATCGCAAAACTTAACCTCTTAAATTAAGCGAAGCAGATCGATTTCGCAGCGAGACCGAGCGCGATATCTAATGCTGCGATTTCGTGACTCACGTTCTTTTGAACGGCGTCGCCAAAAATTCCGCGAGCAGACGTCAGTTCGCCTTCCGGAAATGTCGTTACGTCGAGACGCGGCGGCGGATCCGACGTTTTCGTCACCGCGCTCATGAATCGTCGTCAGCGCGAGCCTAAATCGATCTTGCACGTAACAGGCACGGGCGTGGAACACCGGCTGGCCAGAAAATCGGTAAAGAGCACCTGGGAAAAATGGGCCACGGGCCACGGGTACCTCGCGACACGCTCGACTCGATTCGACTCCGTTCGACTCGCGCATATGCGCCTGGCATACGCACGTATCGCGCATCGCAGTTATCGCACTGCCTCGGCACAACCAGCGCCATCTTACGACGGATCAGGGAGTTACGCCGAGTCGCGCCGATGCTACGAGTTGAATATAGCAGTATAATTGGATTTCTTCGAATTGCAAACAGAATCGAATTTGATTGGATTGAATTCAGTGATTTTTTTTTATCCAAAAAGACAATTATAATTTTATATATTATATACTTT